GCGTAAGGACCCTAGACCTTCAAAACCCGATAGGCTTTAGATATTTCCACTAGGTCTATATGCACTTAAAGTTGGTATACATACAGAGAGAGAGAGAGAGAAAAAAAAAAAAAAACGTATACATATACTTGTATAGATAGATGTACACACACACACACACACACACACACACACACACACACACACACACACACGTACAGACTCACACACACACACACATACATTCACATACACTAATATACATGCATACATCAACACACACACACACAAACATTTACATTGTGTATAACGAAGCAATATACTAATATACCCTCGGATTTATTTACACATTTCTTAGAAAAAGACATAATTCTTGGACATCACGTGACCCGAGAAATATGAAAAGCAAGAGAAATAAAGAAAGGGAGGGAGAAAGAGGAGAGAAAGAACGGAAGAGGATAAGAAAAGAAGGGAGAAAGTAAGAGAGATAGGTAGAAAGATAGAAAGAGGGAAAGAAAGAGAGACGGAGAAAAAGAAATAAAGAAGAAGGATTAGAGGAAAAAGAAAGAGAGAAATAAAGTAAGAGGGAGACGAAGAGATTAAAGAAAAAAGAAAAGAAAAAAAGAAGGAACTAATAAAAGGAGAAAAAAAAATCAAAGAGAAGGATGGATAAATAGAGAAAAAGAAAAGAAATAAGGAAAAAAACAAAGAGAGAAAGAAGAAAAAAGAAAAAGAGAGGAATCAAAGAATTAAAGAAAAATAAGAAGATAGTAAGAAAGAGAAGAGAAATGGGTGATAAGAAGAATAGAGAAAAAATAACGAAGGTGATAAAGAAAAAGAGGGAAAATATGGAAAGGAAGAAAAAGAAGAGGACGGAAAAAAGACAGAGAAAGAGGGAGAGAAAATATGATGACTGAGGAGAAGAGAGAGAGGAGAGAGAGAGAGAGAGAGAGAAGAGAGAGAGAGAGAGAGAGAGAGAGAGAGAGAGAGAGAGAGAGAGAGAGAGAGAGAGAGAGAGAGAGAGAGAGAGAGAGAGAGAAGAGAGAGAGAGAGAGAGAGAGAGAGAGAGAGAGAGAGAGAGAGAGAGAGAGAGAGAGAGTGAGTGAGAGAGAAGACGTTATCACTGCATTTCCAGTTTTCCTCATTCGTTTATTTTTCTCCTCTCATCCTCTCTCCCATTTTCTTAATCCACCCGCATTTTATCTTTTATTTTTCATTGTTTTTCTCTTATCTTCCATCTTCCTTCTTTTACTCATTTCTTTCGCTTTTTGTTTTGTTTCCTTCTTCGCTTTTATGCTTCTTGTTTCTTCTTTATTCCCCCCTTTTGTCCTGTTCCTTCGTTCTCTCCTCTTCTCGCATCTCCCCATTTCCTTCATCTTTTTTTTTTTTTTTTTAGTTTTCCTATTCTACATTTTTTTTATTCACCTTCTTTCTCTTCCCTCTTTCTCTCCTCTTCCCATTTTTTGCTTTTCCCCCCTTTCTTCTTTCGCTTCTCTTCACTTCCCTGCTTCTCTCTTCTCTTTCCCCTCTTTTATTTTCCTATCTCCTTCCTTATTCCTGATTTTCTCCTTCCCACATTTCCCCTTCTTTCTGTTTTCCTCATCTCCCATTCACCTTCTTTCTTCACTTCTCTTCTCTTCCTCTTTCCTCCCTTCTGTCCCTTCCTCTCTTCTGCCCTTTCCATTGCTCCTTTTCCTTCTTCTTTCCTCCACCCTCCTCCTTTCCTCCCCTCTTCTTCTTTCCTCCTTTCCCTCCTCTCCTTCTTCCCTTCCCTCCTCCTTTCCCCTCTTATTTCCTCCCTTCCCCGCCTTTCCTCATCCCCTCTTCTTTCCTCTCCTTCTTTCCTCCCCTCCCTCCCCTCTCCTCCTCTCCTCCCTTCCCACTCCAGGCCCAGGTCAAGCACGCACTCCAGGACCCACCCTCCAAAAGGTAAAACACATACTTCAAGTTTTAACATCTATACGTGATTCACGCGAACTTGAATCCACGCAAACGAACGCACACGAACGCACGCATACGAACGCGTACGAACGAACACGCGAATTCACATAAACGAACGCAGTGGTGGCTTGGTATTTCTTTGATCCTAGTTAGAAAAAAACATGATGTGTAATAAATGCGTGATGAATATTGGTGTAGAATTACTACATGTTAAAAAAAAAAAAAAAAAAAAAAAAAAAAAAACATACTAAGTCTGTTTACGCACATACATACACAGAAAACACGCCACACACCACACACACACACACACACACACACACACGCCCACACCTCTCCACCCACACCCACACATGCCACACCATCACGCTAGCACCCTATAGATGGCGCGTTCCAACCCATCTAAGGATCAGCTGAGGAATAAATGCCTTTTGAATTCAGTGTCATCATCTGCATAATCTTTGGATCCTAGTCTCTTATGAGAGAGAGAGAGAGAGAGAGAGAGAGAGAGAGAGAGAGAGAGAGAGAGAGAGAGAGAGAGAGAGAGAGAGAGAGAGAGAGAGAGAGAGAGAGAGAGAGAGAGAGAGAAGAGAGAGAGGAGAGAGAGAGAGAGAGAGAGAGAGAGAGAGAGAGAGAGAGAGAGAGAGAGAGAAGAAGAGAGAGAGAGAGGAGACAGAGAAGAGAGAGAGAGAGAGAGAGAGAGAGAGATAGGAAAGAGAGAGAGAGGACGAGAGAGGACTGAGAGAACGACGAGAGAGGTGGAAGAGGAAAAACGAATAGAACGAAGAGAGAGAGAGACGGAGAGGAGAGACCCCAGAAGAGATAGAGAATTAGAAGGACGAGAGCGAGAGAGAGAGGGAAGAGACGAGAGAGAGACAGGAGATGAAGGAGAGAGAGAAAGGAGAGAAAGAGGGAGAAGAGCGAGAGAGACCAGAGAGACGAGAGAGACAGAGACCACGAGAGAGACGGAGAGGAAGACGAGAGGAGAGACGAGGGCTGAGTGGGATGAGCCTTAAAGAGACAGGAGAGGATGGAGAGGAGAAAGAGAGGGAAGGATGAGAGAGGAAGGACGGGAAGGGGGAAGAGGAAGGGAGGACAGGTTCTCCTTCTCGAGGCTAAGAGACCCTCTCTCCTTGAGACTCGTATTCGTGCTCGATCTGGACCTTGAGCGCGAGATCGACTCCCTCTCCACTACCCGAGGGCACAGAGTGATTGCTCGTACCGTGTTCGTGGTGGTCCGTCCTCCTTTTACCCTCTTTTCGTAGCTCGATCTTGCTTATCTCTTGCTTCTGTAGTTAACCATGCTACCCGCTTAATTACGTGTACCGCACTCTGATGAGATGAGTTACCGCATACTCTCTCTCTTACTCCCTCTTGATCCCTGCTCCTTCACCCTCTGCGCCTGAGAGCCTTCTCTGCTTCTCTGGACTCTGCTTCTCTGGCTTCTCGCGGATCTATCGTTCGATCCTCGTTCGATCTACCGCTCTAGACTCGAGCACGTTCCATGCTCATTTCTATAAATCAATCTTATGTCTGACTTCGTTGGCTGGAAAGAGAAAGGCCTTCTATCCATTCACTCTGTATCGTCCCCGGCTCTCCTTCTCCTCTTCTTTCGTCTCTCTCTTCTTTCTCCTCTCACTCTCTAGAGGAAGGACTACAACAGAGAGAGATCGGAGGTGCTTTCGAGGTCCATGAATGGAGGCCGAAAGAGCATGGGAGCGACGCTCTATCATTCCCAGAGCTCGGAAAAAGATCACGTCGAGAAGGAGAAAAGTAGTCTGGGAGCCCTGGCATCTATAGAGAAGATCGATCATGCTTTCTCTCTCGTCGATCTTCTAATCCTTGATCTCTCTCTCAGGAACCGTCACTCCTCTGCATACAGGACGATCTGACTGCTAGAATCGAGATGAACTCTGAAAGAGAGACGATCTCCTGCGATGGGAATCGATGCTACGTGATGACGAGAACTTCCTATAATAGATGAGATCTTATACTCGTCTCTTTCAGACCTGATCGCGAGAGACTTACTGTTACTGACTCCGAGAGAGAGAGCCTCCTCGTTGTGATTCTCTCTCGACCCTAGACGACATGACGTCGTAAGTCTTGCATCTACTACTACGCCTTTCCTCTCATCTAGCTCACTCTTCTCTCTCTCCTTCCTCTCTCCCTCTACTCTCAATGCTCTCTCTCTCTCTTTCTCTCCTCTCTCCTCTTTCTCTCTCTCGCTCCTCATAGCCTCTTTCACGATACGCATATGCAAGATCACGCCTCTCTCATGCTACTTGTCTCTTGATGCATCTAATTAAAGCGACTTCAAACCCTCTCTCTCATGTCATGCACTGTGTTCTATAGATACATACATCAAAGACATATGCTCAAACGTATTACATATAAAAGAAACACGACAAAGAAAGCAAGTCCTCACTTCATCCTACTACTTCTCTATCTACTCTCTGCTGTGTATGTCTTGCTCTGCTCTTCGTCACTTCTATCTCTCTGTCTCTCCTCTATTTTCTCTCTCTTAACCATAATAATATATTACTTACTTCACTATCTTATCTATCTCTCTTACTTTTATATACTCTCTTTAATACTACATCATACTTCATCTCTCCTCTTATCCTTATACATTCATCTCACTACCATATTATATCTATTTTTTTCTCTCCTTATTTTCTTTTTTTTTTTTCCTTTTTTTTTCTCCCTTCTTTCTTCTTCCTTTTTTTTTTTTTTTTTACCGCTCCCCTCTCCCTCTTACCCAAACATTTATTTTCACTCCCCCTGCTTTCTCCCCTTGCCATCATATCTTACCACCTCCTCTCCTCTTCCTCCTCCCCTTCCTCCCAAACCCCTCCACATCCTTGCAATCTTCCTCACGAATCAGCCAATCCTGTTGACTTCGCCTTTCAGATCTAATGACGTCGTACAGTCCCTCTTCTTTCATTCTCCTCTCCTTTTCTCCATTCTGAATATAGGATATGATATGATTAGATATCTCAGCTTTCTTGATCTTTCTTTTTCTTTTTCTTCTACTGTCGCTGGCCCAGTTTTCTTCCCTGCGTTATCCAGAATAATAGCCTGCTTAACATCCGTTCTCTATACTCCCCTACTTCCTCTCTTTTGATCCTTATGGACCCTTCTCTTCTCCATCCTCCCTCCTACCTGTACCTCCCTCATTTTCCGTCCTCCTCATACTACCACTTCATCTCCATTCCCCACATTGTTTTCAGACGTTTACAATACATGTCACACTTTTTCCTTCCCTTTTTTTTCCTTTTCTTTTTCTTCTTCATTTTTCTCTTTTCCTCTTTCTCACATCCGTCCGTGGTCCCTCTTGGACCCCTTGTCTGTTCATAGAAGCGATATGATTCTATAATGTACTTAGGCAATCTCATAAATGAATAATTAATTCCTTATGAACCCTATGGGCTATATAACCAGTTTCATACGATACTCAGAGACGAAAAAGCCAAAAAAGAAGTATAGTATACAAAATATTATTCTCAAGTAAAGTTCCTATCCCGATAGGTCCGAATATCAAATATAACAGACAATAAGAAATAATAATACGAAGAAGAAAAAGAAAAATTGTCATCCTGAACCTCGAATGATCCAAAAATCCACCCTCCCCCTCCCCTCCCCCTCCCCTCCCCCTTCCCCCAGCCCGTAGAAAGACCCAGGTGCCCTCCGCCGCTCCCCGTGGCATGTGGCCTGTCACACGTAGCTATAGATAGCGCGAGTTCCTCCCCAACACTCAGCACTTCCGCTCTTCCCCCTCCCCCCCTGAATCTCTTTAGGTGCACACACACACATACATAACACTCGCCACACACATACTTACATACTAAACTACATGCATTACATACTTACACCACGCGCTCAGACTACATACAAAATCAACATATCTATTTGCTCTATACACGTATCACTACATATAAGTACATATCTACGCATGCATGCATATCCATACGTAAGACACGAATTGCACCCCTCTTCTGCTTCCTGCTTTTCGACGTAGTACACAGAACAAGCAGACCCCCCACCCTTGCCCCCCCCAGCCCCGAGAGCGAGGGGGGGGGTGGCAGGTCCCTCGGCCCACAGTGTTTCTGCCGCCGCCGCTCCACCACAGGGGACGCCACAGAGCCAAATCTTTCTTAACTTTTGAGAATTTCTTGCCTCTTTATTCCTGAGACGAAAGGATAGTTGGTTGGCTCTAATCCAATGCAGAAAAAGGATATTGTATTATTATTATATATTTCTTTTATTTATGGTCTTTCTTAAGGTTTCGCTTTTCTTGTTCCTTTTTTATTTCTTGGTTTTGTCTTTTTTGTTTTCATCTTTTGTTTTGGTTGATTTTCATCAATTTTTTCCTTGTTTTACTGTTATCTGTTTTATTTCCTGATCTATTCACTTATTTGTTTGTTTCTCGTGTGATTTTCCTTTTGCTTCTTTTATATCGTTAATGTTTTCTTGTTCTACAGATCTTTTGCTTTTGTTTCTCTTTTTCAAATTTACTTGCTTTCGTAATTTTTCCTTCAGTCTTTGCATTTCTTTTCACTTATTTTTGCTTGTCTTATTGCTCATTTTCATCAGTCTCTGTTTTATCACTATATTCTTTACTGACATTGTTTTCTCTTCCCATTTCCTTTTATCTTTATTTTTTCTTTCCCTTTTCCCTTTTTTCTACAAGGTTCAAGGAGTGGCTGTCTCAAAGGAATATGTTCCAGGTAATATTGCTAATATTTCAGATGTCAAGACTTCTCGGGTGCTTCAGAACTCACTGTCAAGAGCGACTTCACGAAAATTGTTTCTCAAAAAGAAAAAAGAAAAAAGAAAAAACAGGAAAAAACGAATGGATTCTTCTTTTTTTCCTATCATTTATAGAACGCACATAGGTATACACAAAAAAAAAATATATATATGGGACTGGGGATAGACTATTACGTACATGCTTACACCTACACAACCTGCAGAACGCACTTGGGTAATTTGTATATTTACACCCGCACACACACACACACACCACAACACCACCAGACCAAGAGAGAGAGAGAGAGAGAGAGAGGAGAGAGAGATAGAGAGAGAGAGAGAGAGAGAGAGAGAGAGAGAGAGAGAGAGAGAGAAGTAGAGAGATAGAGAGAGATAGAGAGAGAGAGAGAGAGAGAGAGAGAGAGGTAGACGGAGAGAGAGAGAGAGAGAGAAGAGAGAGAGAGAAGAGAGAGAGAGAGAGATCGTAAAAATGGACAGATAAACAGAAAGCTAGAAAGATATATAGAGAGATTTGTATGCATGTGTTTATGTGTGACTATATCCGATAGTCTGTGTAAATATTCACGAAATATTAACCACTGATGTTCATTTTTTTTTCGATCAGCGCCAAAAGAAGTCCTTAAAAAAGGTATACTTGACCCCCCTTCCCCTTCTCTGCAACACAAACCACCCACCTCTCCTCACCCACACCGCCACGCCAACACCTGCACGCAACTCGTATCCGTCGTCGTGTCGATTTGCAAGCGCCGTTGCAACCTCACTGGCATTTTCATCTCCCAGTCTCAACGCGAATTTATACCCTGTAGCGACCAT